AGCTGGATTTTAGAAAATAAATGGAACTGAGTGGATGAAAGACTACAAACCTTCTGCCATGAGACTGGTACAGAATTTATTCAGATGACTTCTATTTTGCTAATGTTAAACAACTTAATTATATTTTAGAAAATCCACTGACTGCCTAGGTCTGCAAGCAGCAAGATATTACATCGCCATTAGACAGATTTTACTGAAATTGGTCAGACCATGCATTAAGGAAAGAGGACAGTGCTTGAGTCAATAGTAGAATTTCAAGTAGTTGAGTAATCCTGTAGCTTAATGCACATGGATAAAGCACAGACCAAGAAGTAAAAGGAGGATAGCAACTGGCACCACAATGTTTTTAAATTGGTCTAGGAATAAGAGTTTATTTTGAGATAGGATTTGAAAAGTGTTTTAAAATTCTTGGACAAAGCTTCTTACAATATCACAAAGCTCTGGTCTATTACAAACATACTCTGCTGGAGTAGAGGATATTTGCTACCACAATTTTCTCAACAGAATGAAAGACATTTTACTGTGTTCATGAAGAGACAGCTGACAGGTTAGGATTTCAATGCAAGATTTGAAGGAGCTAGGCCTAAATCACAGATTTGGCATTAACCTGTTTTGTCACACGATTTCTTAACTCTTCTCTACCTCACTGTTGATATACAGTGGACCAGCAATTCCTGCCTCCCAGGTATTTCAACAGGATACACATATCCATAGTTAAGATATTAGAGGTATAATTGGAAGACTGCATGAAACACATTGATAGAAGAGGCTCTCAGATAGTATATATGGCAACACCCCAGTGTGATTTATACTACTATTCTAAAATACTTTTGGTTACTCCTATTTTTAAAAATTCTCTGTTCCCAGCATGTAAAGGCTTTATTTGTCACTCTGCTACTTTTCAAGCTTTCACTGATTAGGAAAAACAGCTGAAGGTGTTTAGGAAAGGTGAAGCCTCCAAAGCAAAAGTTAGCAAAGCCTAGGCAGAACATGTTGACAAGACAGACAGGGAACTGAAAGAATAAACTGGCTTCTGTAGATAATCATAATCGAAGACCACTGTACTTCAGAGACTGCACCTGCCCACCCAGCTCCTCCCTCAGTCTGTGTCTAAAGCCAGGGGCAAGTGTAATACGTTATTTCAATAGAGTATATAATACATATAATGTAACACATCATATTAACTTCCAAAGAAATCTTTATAATGGCTGTTGTAGCATCCAACTCCAAATATAATAAACACAGAATTCCTTAGTCTTTTTATTGCTGTTTTCTAAGTTTAGGAAATTAGAAAAAAAACCCAACAGCAACAAACCAGGAACACTTCGTTTTGGTTTGCTTTGCCTTAATTTTTCTGCAAGACACGGCTCCCCTCTGCTGGACAAGAGCTGGTGTAACAGCAAAGAGCTGTGAACCAAAGCTGATGGAACAGCAAAATGAAAGCAGCAGATTGAAAAGATGAGTAAGGAAGGACAACTGAGGCAATGTATGGCTACCCAAACGCCTGAGAAAATAAGGGGCCTAGGTGGAAAACATTAACCAAACAGCATTCAGAATTTAGACTTAGTTCTCCAAAAAAGAAAGTAACATTTTTCATTACATCTCTAAAATAAGTCACCTTGAAGGAGCTGTTACCTTGACAAATACCAGATCTCTAACTCCAAACACAACTGTTGCAATATTTAGGATAACAGGAAGCAGAAAGAATTTCCTAAAGCAAAAGACTTTTGTCTGTGAAAAGCTAAATTATGAGCGATGAAGTCTGCGCTGAATGCAGCTGGTAAGGAAATTTAGTTGTAACCTGTGCCTTGACACCATTGTTTTCCAGGAGAAGGTATGACAAACCTTAAGCAAACCTTAAGAATGGTTCTTCTCACTAGCCCTGAGACTAAAGTATAGTTGCCCATTTTGTTTCAGGCTTCCTGTTCCACTCTACAGATGACTCCATTCAGTCCTCCAGGGGTTGGAATACTACTTGTTTTTAAACCAAGGAAAGATTCTAAAAAAGTGACATTTAACAGTAACATAAGTGACTTCCAGTAAACAATTTTTTTTTTGGTTAAAAATACAAACACAAAACAAGTTTAATAATATTTTCCCCCTTTTATTAAAAAGACATTATACTTGACATGCAATTGGCAAATATACATATATATATATATGATCGTATCTCTACTTTTAAGAGAGCTAATTACAGACTATTGCAAAGTGACACCAGGTGTGTCATTACTGGGTTCTGCACTGGTTTTTCATACTGAAAACTTCTGGGTTTGTTTCAGTTGTTCAACAACAGCCCATTGGCTTCAAATACGTTTATTTTAGATGCCCACAAGTGTCCACAGAGCAAAGCTGCACACAGTACCTGCCATGAGATACCAAACAGGACATTCTTTTAAGGTCTTTACCATCCAGACTCGTTCTTTTGTACCACTGTTCACATGGAAGCCTGTCACTTCAAGCCTTTCACTTTGTTAACCAAAGTCTGTTTCACTAAGAAACAAGTTTTCTAAACCATTTGTTTCAGGACCAGGAAAGAGGACAAATCTTACCAACAGGAAGCTCTCCAGAGCAGAAGAAAGTCTGTAGTGACAGAAGCAGACACCAAAACTCAGTAAAGACAAGTTTTTCTAATCAAACCTACACAAAAACTTCAAGTATACAGCAGCTATATGTACAAAGGAGGAAGGGGGGAAGAATTATCTCTCTGTAGTCATTACCCACATTCTCAACAGCTCTACATTATGTAAGAAAGAGTATCAGTCCATTTACCAAGATGCATTGTCCTGTTTCCTGCTGTTGTTTTAAGTCAGCTGGAAGCTTCTTTTTTGAGCTTTTCTAAAATCTCATCTGGTGTCAGTGATACCGAAATCTTCACCACTTTGTCACGTGATTTACCACCCTGGTTTAGACGAACACACAAAAAAACATCTTTCAGAGAATCACCCTGGAAAGACTGATTTTAAGTACAATGAATTAATAAAAGACATTATTTATTCAGTGCAATGAATAAAACAAAGTTTCCACTTGCCAAAGTCAAGACATGTAAACTCTAAACAGACAAACTTTTGTGGCCCAGCTGTAGCCCAAGTGCTTATATATGCTCTTGCTGACAATTACATGTCAGAAAATTTTAACTCAAATAACTTTCACAGAAGTTATTTTTTAAAAAGGAGTGAAAAGTTGTTAATAAAATTCACGTTCTCTGCAAAGCAGAAATTTTGTGAACTGCATTTAACATGAGAACAAGAGAATCTTTGAAGAACACAGAAACAATTCTTCCCATGCTAAGTTTGTTCTCAATGAATCATACCATTAAGTCAACTAAAAACCTTTTTAAAGTGTCTTTCAGACTTAACTTGGAGAGTAGCTCCCTGTACCTAAATTTGTAAGTTTCAAAATCTTGAATTTCAACTACAGTAGGAAAAACTGAAACGAAAAAAAGGAAGTACCTTCTCTAAAACAACGTCACTCTTCTTCACTTCTAGCACCTTAGAGAGGTAGCGACACAGCTCTGCATTTGCCTCCCCTTCCGACGGGGGTGCAGCAATAGCTACACCCACTGCCTCAGCTGTCACATCTACAACAAATATTTTAAGCATTTTAGGCGTGAAATATTCAAAACATCTTTTGTTTCCTAAAAACGAGTGTTTATGCTTTCCAACGCATTTTAATTCTAAACCAAATAAACGTGTAGATTAGCAGGTAATGACATTTTCACACTTCATAAATTCCTTTAAACTGTTGGCCATAACAATCAAAGGTAAACTTCTGACACTAAAAGCAGTCAATCCTTCAGTGCAGCCGTAAGTATTAAGTTTTCTCTCAATGGGGACACCGTTTTGAGCTCCATCCTGATGCTGGGCAGGAGAAAGCAGGTTACTCCACGAAAACACGCGTGTTAATCAGTCTGCTCAGAGAGCCGTGCTATCAGTAACTTCCCTGTGTTGCCACCCGAGCCCGGACACCGCTGCAGCCCCTGCCAGTCACACACACAGGGTATGAAAGCGGTCCCAATGTGTGCACGGGCAAGGCCGGGGCTGCACAGCCAGAACGCGTTTCATTAGACCGAGCCTGTGTGGTTCTAATAAACCCGCGCAGCCTCTCGGGACACTAAACCACAGATGCCAAACTGAAGCGCCGATCAAGTGCGTTTGCTGTTACTCCTTTAATTAAAAAAACAACAAACCAAAACCAGAATTCACCCCGCGCTCACCGCGCCCCCCAGCGCTGCCCACGGGGGCCTCGAACGAGCCGCTCCTGGAGCGCGGAACTTCCCGCTTCGGTTTCCTGCTGGGTTTCTGCGCGTTCCTCCCCAAGCCCCTCTCATGGGACGGCGGCGAACCCCCGGGACGCCCGGCCGGGAGCTCCAGACCCACCTGTGACGGCGCTGCAGCGGGCACCGGGCTTGGCGCGCACCGCCACCCTCACGGAGCCATCGCCCGCCGCCACCACCGGTCCCGCCGCGCCGCCCGCGCCCGCGGGGCCCCTGGCGGCTCCTTTGCCCTGAAACAGAGGAACAGGCGCGGTCACCACCCGCCCCTTCCCCTTCTCCTTTCCCTGCCCCTCCCCGCCCGCACCTTCCCGGGCATTGCCCCGCCGCTCCGCACCGGCGCCGCCAACACCCGGCGGAACCCGGCGAGGGCCGGCATAGCCCTTCCGGCAGCCCCGGCCGGGCCCGCCCCGCGGAGCCTGCGCGCTCCGGCCCGGCCGCTCCGGCCGCCCGGGACCCGAGTGCCGGGGATCGGTGTGATAGAAAGGGATCGGTGTGATAGAAAGGGATCGGTGTGATAGAAAGGGATCGGTGGGATCGACAAGGACCCGTGCCCGGCTCCTCCCAGCCCAGCCCCACCTTCCGACACCCCTCCCGGCTGCCGGTACCCCAGCGCTTCCAGGGAACAGCCCTTTGACGCTGCTCTACACGCGGCCCTTTTGAGACGCAAACCCTGCGTGATCTTCTCCGTTTACATAGAGGGGAAAAAAAAAAAAAAAAAAAAAGGACGTTTTCTTATTATTCTCCTGCATTCTCAAATTACTACTTTAGTGTAATCTGGGGAAGGGTACAGGTCTTTGTACATGAAGACATTCTATTACTACACAGTACATACTGCAAGACACTGAGTACTATATACATATAGCAATGGCATCAAAGTATTATGTGCAATCTGTAAAACTAGTTGCACACAAGTAATCCTTAGGTTTATACTATTTTTTTTTTTTTAGTGCTAGAATATCCAGTGACAAAATAACATCATTACAAGCCTTGTATTCTCATTTTCACATTATACATTTTTTTATAGGCACATATGTATATACAGTGGCTATTTCCATAACCAGTTCTATATTCCAAAACAGCCCTTCTGAATTAAGAGAGATTCTGGAAAGATCTGTTTGTTGCTGAAGTTGACTTAGTGTTTCTTCAGTGCAGCTGCAGATGCTCTCTGCAGTGCTAATGTCCATTAATTCTCAATGGCTCGTCCAAAGAGTCAAGGTGATGGCAATATAAATCCAGCTTTGCTGATGTACTTCAAAAAAATACAGCAGCACTCCATGTCCATAGGGTCGTTTTGGAAAGAAGTGCAAGGTGGGACTACAGCAGCAGCTTTATGGTCTTTTTAGGACAGATTGGGGAACATGTACGCAAGTTGCTCATAATAAGTAAGGATTTTTCCAGTTTAAAAAATGAATTTTACTACAAGAGAAACGAAGGGGTGAAAACACAAAGCAGTTAATCACATGATACTGTTTAAAACAAACAAAACAAACTTTTCAATATACAGAGTACTTTCTCCACTTGACATTTTGTTAAGAGGAAAAGCTAAATTACGTTCTGCTGATAACGATGCAGAAAAAAAAATCCTTTTTCTGGTACCTCTCAAACAAGATAGATTTGTTTTCACACACTGATGTAATTTCAGAGAATTTTTTAACTGCTGCCAGTAGTGAGCTGAAGTCCACTGAGACACTGACACATTCCAGATCATCACGTGAAACTAAGTATAAAATATTATTTCTGGTATCTGTCCATCTTCTATTGATGTACCGTTGTTGTTACCTGGTGAACTATAAAAGACAAAGCATGTTTTGCTAGCAGTAGGAGATTCGTGGATCACTTTCTTCAAACCTTTTGTTCCATAGTGGGAATCAGGACCCTGAAAAATATCACAAGAGATTAGCAGCTGAGTGGAAGTAGGCAAGACCCATAAATTGCTAAGGTTCAAACACTGCTGAGTTAGGTTATTTTAGAAGAACAAAATTTCTGTACCCACATCATATAAATTATACACAAAATCACAGACAACAGAAGCAAGTGCTGTATGTCTAACTAGCAAAAAACCATTTCTCTGACAGCAGACTTAAACCAGTAGATTTTATCCAACTAGTAATGAAAACTTTCTAGTACTTCTCCTTATCACACAAGTTGTCTATATTCTCACTTAGTTCCCTGCCTCAGCTTCTTTTAATGTGCAGTATTTTTCTCAACCTACTCAACTTTGATTTCTGTAACAGAGAAATATATTTAGAAGAATATTAAAAAAATTTTGAGAAATACATTTGTCCACAATATTGAGACTTTCCCAGAACAAGTAATTCTTTGTTTCAGCATAGCATATGAAAAGTGAAAAAGAATCTGTTTCCTTGACTCCAGCTAGTGCAGTCAAGAATCAAACTTCAATCAGTAAATCAAACTTCAATTTTGATAGACAGCTGCCAGATTAACTATTCTAGATAGTGCTTTTTCCCACACAGAACCAGTAACTTGCATTAGGACTCACTCTAACACCTACATCATGCCACAAAGTGAGAAGGCAAAAAGGATCCACTTGCGAATTCCATGCTGTGGCACAGAAGAGATACAGCAGTCTTACAAGTTACTGTGGAGTTTAACTACGTCCTTCTTTAGCCCTAAAGTAGAATCAAGATCTAGAAGACACTTTCCCATCAGAAGACTGATAAAAGAATAACTCTCGCATCAAAGTAACACTTTCTTCTCTACTGTTAGACATTCTTACTTTTAAGGTTGCACAAGCTGTGTAGCAAACCGTGGGCAGAATCTCGATGGGCTCTTTGAACATAACTCTGAAGGTGCTGGCTGTTCCATCACAGCTAAACCCAGTATCGTTCTGTCCTAGCGTCTGATTCTTCTCATAATCAATTATCTGTGCAAAAACACGAAAACAGTATTCTTAGGGTTACAAGCATGAGAAAGATTCTCATTATATGCATATGAGAAGATGACAAGCAAACACTTGTCTACTCCAGCCAGTCTAATTGCTGATCTTTGCACACCTACACAGCCCACGTGAGGGAAGCACATTCGCTGGCTGTGGCCGATTTAGCAAAGTTTTTACGGATAATGTAAGCAGGCAATGATACATTCGTAAAAGAAAACAAGAAGTTGTCCTGCTGTGCTTTATACAATTTATTTCTAATCTAGATCCAGCATAAAAATTAGACTACATAATATTTATTGTGCCTTCAATTTTAGTGGCGAATAGGAATGACCAGCTACAATGTAGTAATAGCAGATACTTAACTTCTTATTTTGGGTTGCCAGACTGGTCAATGCTACCCAACACCTCTTGCAGAAGTTGGATTATCAGAGCTTAAGAGTAGTACACTTCTCATGATTACTGCACTAAGAAGAATCCTAACGATTTTAATATTTTATTTTTAAATTGCCATATAATTTTTAGTATTACATAAGTGAGATGAAGCTCTATTCTAGGCAAAATATGCTCTATCAATAGCCACAATCAATAGAAATATTAACAATTAAAATGCTGAAGTCCTAAGCCCTTTCCATATAAAATACTTATTTGCAATATACATTATCACTAGTTTAAGACAAGTTTTAAATGTTTAACTCTCTAAAGCTTTGCTAGTACTGATGCAGATCCAAGAAGAATGGTAGAGGCACAGAACTTAAATACATGTCTGAAAAGACTGGGACAAGGAAGTTTCAGATTCATTGCAGGATACAGTGAATCTGTATAAGATAGATGGTCTTAATCTGAACCATAAGGGTGTATCTAGCCTTTCACTTTGGATCGGAGCATCTTTTTCAAGTGAATGTTCTGATCATTCCCACCAAATATGCATTGGTTTGCCTTGAAAAAAACCTAAATCCTTTTCAGATTAAAAAAGTCCAGTAAACATCCTGAGGGAACACACTAAACACTTGCATCTACTAACAGGAATTCAGCAGAGAAGTTAAATAAAAAGAGATAATATGAAGCAAAAATCCCCAAATATACATAGTATAGCTGATAGATTCTCAGGACCAACTCTTTTGTTCTAAAGATCCAACCCATTTACATGGATCCTACTCATTTACATGGATGTATGGTTTAAGAAAACCAAACTGATGGTACTTCAAGAAATTTGCAAGTGAGCTTTTAAATTGAGGAATGTGGAAAAACCAAATTCCTTCAAAACCTCATTCCAGAAACACTCCGTTTGAAACACCATAAGAGGAAAGGCACAACATTTTTCTTCTTAAGAGACAGACACAAAATCCGTATCCTTAAGTACAAAATAGTCATATAATAATAATCATCAAATAGGAAACAGAAGACAAACTGTCATTTAAACAGAATGCTCAGAAACGACCTGAAACAGCAGTTCCATGGAGTTCCAGAACATGCTAGAAGTCTATGAAATAAGGTAGGGACAACAGAATTTCTGCCTCTAAATGAAGTCACAGACTATTTCTTTCACAAAATTTCCCATGCACCTAATAAATCAATGTGGCATGATAGTAGTAGGTTATGAAATACACACCACAGGGTAAAACTGTGCCAGTCATGGAATGCTAATACCTTGTTAGAAAGCTTAGAACCAAAACCAATCTCAGTAAGAAAAAGAATTCACATGGACTGAAATTCCACATTTAAAAAGGAAAATACAGTGTTGTGTCAATACTACTAGAAGGCAATCCTGACCACAATGTGCTAAAAGAGATCAAACAGGCTACAAGAGAAGGAAATACAGATTTAACGATGTCTTCAATTACCCACTCAGAGCAGGCAAGGGTCACACCAGGACGAAGCAAGGGTGACATTTTTAGATGCTATCACTGGCCTTTCCCTGAGCTTGCTAACCAATTGCTCAGTAGGAAGAAACACAACCCTTGATTTGGTACTGAGCGATGAGCAGGATCAGATTCAAAATTTCATAATGGAAACACTATGTAACAGTGTCCATAACATACTCAGTCAACACTCCCATGTGAACAACAAAAGCAAATCCTCCACAGCTGTGCTAAATTTCAAAAAGACAAAAATGAGGAAGCCTGTTCAAAAGAAACTAAAAAGGAACAATTAGGAAAACCAAATCATTATAAGAAGCATGCAGACTACTGAAGGACATCACATGCCCAAGTACAGTATCAGTACATATATCTCCAATTTGGAAAGGCTTGAGAAAATGGGGGAAAAGCTGGGTATTGGGAAACACCAGTACTGAGGATGATTGAAGGACAGGAGAATACAGAAAAAGGGAGAAGAGTTTCATACTGTTCTTATTGTTGCCTACTCATCCAGTTATGCCCACTGTTAAGGTCAAAACACAGCTTAGATTCCTGGCCTATCAATTGCTCCCATCCAAATATGGACCAAACCTTTAGGAAGTGTAGTTCCTGCATAAGCCTATTTGAACATTATATACTGTACCTGTATATTAACTTGATAGTCTGTGGGTCCATGAATAGATCCATATAATCCAAATCCCACTATGGAAATTCTTCTGTTAACTGTGAACCTAGTAAGACATAAGCCAAGAAAGGAATTTAAGTCAAAGTTGAGGGATTTGCTCCCTTTCTTCCTACACTTCTCTGTCTCTCCTTCAAATAGTCTCAAAAGTCATACCTAATCCGATCACTTGTTCCACTGTAGCCCCAGCGACTCTCTACTTGCTGGAACCTGTTAATGCTGCATTCTTTTCCTCTAAGGCAACATCTTGGTCGGTCAATATAATCTACTTTAGGTTTAGGATTGACAGTAAAATGAAGAAAGAGATTTACTACTTCCCGATCTGACAAGATTCCAGATTGAGCAGGGCCTGTGGAAATAAGAAAAGAATTTTAAGATGATTTGAAGGATTACTCCAACTGTTGTATTTAAACCACACACATTCACAACCTAAAGACAACAATATTTTCCAATGGCCAGAGTGTAATCTGCAGAATGTTTTGCTTTCATTTGTGCATCACAACTCTTATTAGTATAATATTAATAACAGAATCAAGTGTTAAGCATCTAAACACAGGTGAACAGCACAGAAATATGGTCTAACAGTAAGACAAAGAACTCCAAAACTCACCTGCTGCAAACTCTTCAATAGTCATTAATGGAAAACGGATTAAGGAAAGAGCTCTTCCAAGGACTTTTTGTTTGTTCCCGAACGTCGGAGGCAATTGTTGTCTTTGACATTCTGCTTCTGCCCAGCGAACAACAGCTCCAAAGAGCCGACTTTCTCGAATACTAAGGGTATCCCTTTCTAGAACTGCACATAATGTGTCTAAAGAAATAAAAAGTTAGCAGATTTAGATCAGTTTTCATCCAAACCAAAGTGTAGCCATAAAATGCTAGATTATGTAACCTTAAATACAAAGTATGTTCACAGTAAGACATAGATAGTTAATATATTATTATAATTATAATGTATATATATTAGTCATCATTTATCTTATGTAGAAAGAAATCTCTCGATGACACATAAACTTCAAACTAAAAATTAATTTTCCTGCTGTGAAGACAGCACATGAACTATCTTCTTGATTCCTGCACGTGTTTTACAGAAGTAACTTCTCCTGTATTTATTACTCATTCTGGCCTTCTATGAATAACATGTATGCACAAGTTACCATGGAACATAAGTTCAAAAGAAAAAGTGTTTTCATATTCTCTCTTTGGAAATTTTTGTCTGCCTTAATTTAAGCAGGGTATATTTGTGGTCATAGAAAATATTATGCTGGAAATTCAAAACACATTGAGAATTACCAAAAGTAGAGACGAACACTCACAGTCCAGGTACAAATCTTACAGAATATGAGTTAATAATGACTTTACAATTTCTTTAAACAGCTGGAACACCTTCCTTCAGTCTGAATTTTTCCCACAATGTAGCTGAGTTGGAGTCAAATCTTAAGATACATATAGTAGCAATGACATTAAGTAAGCAAATTTAACAACTGCTAGCTTTTCATAGAATATTAACATAGAAATCAGCAGTTTATGCATTTATTTTTCAAAGCAGATTTCATTATTTGTACCTAATCTATACAACTCTGAATAGAGAAGTAAATGCAGTTGTGGATCCCTCAGCAAGCGAAAGCTCTGTCTGTAATGAAAAGTGTGATGTTACCACAGCGGGAGCCCTGAGACACCAACACTAATCAAATGGATATCCAAGGCAGTGGAACCCTGCTCAGGAGTGAAGCTCAAAGGAAAGCACTGCAAGGAGGGATAGCCAAGAAGGGAAGAAGTGCTTGGGACTCTGCATACTCAGATGGGTGAGGGAACTGGGGTACTGAGATTTCACACTTAGGACATGCTTACCTATATCGATGTCAGTAAAGCCTTCTGCACTTATGGCATCCATAGTACTTTTGTCTATTGTGTCAAGACACAGACTAGCAAGCTGAGGTTCATCAAACAAACGAGCCTAAAAAGGTAAAGAAATACATCTTAAGCATAAAGTTGGCAAAGCGCTGATCTCAAAAATCAAGAATTTTTACTCTAGTATAGACCTAATTTAAAACAGATGGATTTGTCTTAAGTGCTCTTTGTGTTTATACCTTAAAGAGCACTTAAATTCTCAAAGGAGTACATACTTAATGAGAATTAGTCATTTCCCTCCACAGACTGATTTTCCTAGTAATTCAACACTAAGCTTAAATTTACCTACTTGAGTAAGCAGCATAAAGGCGTTGTCTGCTCGGAGATGCTTTGTTAGAAAATCCACACAATGTGCTTCCAGCGCTGGGACCGCATACTTTTTAGCAGTGTATAAAGTAGTCATGACTGTTTCTGGACCAATTTGAACTTCATCTGAATAAAGAAACCTGTAAATCAATACATAAATACAGATCATAAAAATGTATCTTGAGAGGGGCTGTCAAACACAACAGTCTCTTTGCATTTACAAAACAGGCCAAAGATTTGTACTGTGAACATACAACAGTTGGCCACGTAGCACTTTTTCGAATAAAAAGGGGAAGTTAAAGGGTTGAAGGAAGAATATTACGTTAACCTAATGGCATACATTTGCTTTAAATACATATTACTCCCTAAGACTGATCTGGCTGTACTAGTTATACATAGCTACCCAACTGTAAACAACAGCTGAGCTGCAGAATTACTTAACACACGAATGCAGCTCTCTGGATTCATCAGCAAGAGCTGTATTTCTAAATATCACTGCACAACCCTCTATGGCTGTATTACTGAACCTAATTTACTGACAGGGCACACTGGCTTCCCCTCCATGAGGGGAATAGTGTCAAGGGTTTATACTGTGAGAACATCTGATGTTGAAGTTACCACTCTGTCATGTTCAGAGGAGAGCAGAGCAGATGACCTTGACTCTTCTATTCCTGCCACAGCAAAACTCTCTGGCTTGTCTCCACTGCTTGAGGCTAAAGGATAGGTTATGATTTTAGCATAAGCTGTCAACCAAAAGATAGAAGTCTCCACTGATACCAGGAAAAAAATGCTGTTTCCTGAGCAGTTGTTACTTGAGACTAGACAAGATAAGATTTATTTTAAGGTTCTGTATGGAAAATATGACTTTTTAAAAATAACTTTTCCTACAGGTGACATTTAATGATAATTTTAGCAGTATTTCATCAGCTTTTCAGATAACAATCAAGAGTAGTCTGTGATTTACAAAAATACATTGGTCCCCAACACATAGGTGATTAAACATAATAAAGCAGGGCACATAAGCAAATGCAGGAATTCCTGAATGAAGACCAAGCCTTTCCCTTGTATTTCTTAGTATTAATTGTTCAGAACCTCCCAGAAATGAAATGCACACAGGGACAGAAGGTGTGTTAAGAAGGGTTTTTAAATGTAACAATAAGCAGTTTGTATTCAACAACAGAAACTTGTGCAAGTAACAGACTTGTTAAACTTGCTTGCAACATTGAGAGATCCAGATAATTGAAACATAGAATTAAAGTTTAAACTGAAGTTCTTCACTGTTTATATTTCTCATATTTCAGGAAAAATCTAATTCTCGGTAGTTGCTAACACACAACTCAATATGGTGTTCAACATTAAATTTGCTGCCACAATGCAGGTACATATTTACCATTACAATACTCCAATCTACTCAAACAACCAGCTTGCACATCACTTTGGAGTTGTGAATGATGCTCTAGACTAATTTTTTAAACTGGATTTACATCAAACAGTTTGTAGGAAAAATTAATTTACTTAAATGCTAAGGGGTTTTTTTAAGCAAAAGTTTCATACAGTTCCTTTAGAATCAAATTATGAAAGCTATGAACTATTTATTATGTGTTGATGAAAACAATGGGCTGACTTGCTAGTCTTAATTGCTGACAAATTTACTTCCAAGAAATTGAGATCTCATAGGTACAGTTTTGCACACCAAATTGACAAGTTGTGCATTAAAGCACTAGAACAGTGCATTTAGATTTAAAATGCCCTAAGCTTCCTTGTCTGACTTCATAGGAGCTTGGGTCCAAAGCACATAAGAGTTGAATATTAACAGGCAGTAAAAACAAACAAACAAACACCAAACAAAACAACAAACCAATATTGCCATGCAACCTACAGTATAACTTTTACCTAATTAAAAAATATCCCAATTTGGTTTGAGAACATGATTTTGATTTTATTTCTTAAGTGAGTACAATCTGAAGCCAATAAAGTGACACATCAGAGGAGCTTTTCTGGCTTGTGTTTCACTTTCTGCTATACCTTGTAAAGAATCAGGGTGCAGTTCTGGGTGTGTCTTCTCTCTAAAAATCCCTCTGTTCATGTGTGCCAGAGCTCTGTCTCTGTGCTAACTCTCCCATTTGTGGCACGCCTGGACTAGCACACCTTTGTGTTTATACCACTGTTCCTCCTCCACCCGACTCGGTGGGACCCAAGATCACTTATCCTTCCCCCTTGCCTTCTTCCCTCCTCCTTCCCTTCCAGAGACTCACAGAAACAACCTGCTCTTTAGATACTAATCTTATTGTCATCCAGGATGGAGGGATGGGGAGGTGGGGGTTTGGATGTGCAGGGTGAAAGAATGTTTTTAGTGATCAGCAACCAGAACAAACGATTTTTTTCAAATGACAACTCAATCATTCCCTTCACAGTCTCTCATACATTTTATGCTACTTTTCTTTACTCTCAGGTTAGCACTTCCTTCTCCCCTAGTCTAAGCATCCTTTCAACAGCTAGAATGTTTTCACCATTATAAAAGCACACAGGAATCTTCTTTTCCAGTTAGTCATGATTACTCCTCTATTTATTGATTGCCAAAGTCCTCTACAGTGGTTTAGAAGACAGACTGCTAATTTGTGCCATGTCGTCACTTTCCTTTATACTATGATCAAAGGACAAGTTAACTTACTGTAAAATGTGAATGAAATTTGAAAATAATCTTATTAAAAACAACAAAATGAAACCCTAAAGCAGAATCCTACTGACACAACTTTAATTTTCTTGATCATTGCTATTCAATTTGTAGTTAGAAACATAAATAAAAAAGTGTTTCATTGGGAAACAGATTCAAACTTTATGACTTTGATACTATTTCAGTTCTTAAGGATTTAGCTGTCAAACTACAGAAGTTTTTCAATCAAAAAAATATTTTCCTTTAATTTACAAGTAGCATTTGTCAGTAGATCTTTATGAAACACATCAGCTACAGACAAGACCTAACAAACTACTTGAGTAAATAAAATAGAAATGAGCTGTGGAACATTAAATAATTAGTAAATTATCCCTAAAAAGTTTTGAGTTATTTAAACGCTTCTTTTACCTGCTGTTCATTTGCTACGTGTATTCAAAGATCCTGACAATTTCTAGCCAATACACCTCAAATTGGTCTTTGCAAACATTAAAGAAATGTCCTATAATAGGTAACCATCATTATCTGCCAAATTTACTAAGGATAGATACGACAGGCCAACAGTACAAGGTATCATTCTTGCCTCTTTCAGTCAACACCAGGTAAAAAAATTCAGGTTGTTTTATGGTTGGTACACTTCAGAAACAGTATTTATGAGCATGGAAGAAGTCCAGTCCTCATGTGTATTAAAGTTCTCCTCAGGTATGTTTTTAAAAAGGTGTTGCAATGGGTATTTATTTCGATATAAGCTCAAAAACTATACATATAACTTGAAATAACATCCTAAAGAGCTGTCACAGACACCAAACCCGAGATATTTCAACAGTTCATCAGTCTGGTGATATTTAGACAAGATACAAGCATAATCAGTCTACTGACGTAAGTCCCCTGGACATCACATAGTAGCAGCTCTACCAACACAAGATGGCTTTTGTTTGCTTCTAACAATATCTCTTCATTCACTTCTACACTTTTCAAATACCATCCTTCTTATCTTTACTTAGAGATCTCCTGTTTCTGTGTTTCTATTTATATCCAGATAAACTACTCTCATTATATTCACTTTTCACTGCCCAGCGTTTTTTGCCACATACATATAAAAGCCATGTGTGCTTTTCAAGACACTTTGTGTCATTTACTTTTAACCTTTGAAACCCATTTGCTTGAAAGACACTTCCCACTACCTCTCACTCCTCTGCACAAATTCTCCACCTCCTCACTCACTCTTTGCTAAAAATCCTCAAAATGCAGTTCATTTGCTACTGGCAAGAGAGACACTGCTGCTGCTGCAAGGGGGGTTGTTGGGTTTTATTTACATCAGTTGCTTCAACTCCTGTGTCCACAATCACCAAAGGACTATGTGACTTTTCTTCTCACTGTTCTTATCTGCTAGGCCTCAAAACAAAAGGAAAGTTGCCAAGACTTTGGAGTTCTTCCCATTACAGAAAGTTTTGAGACACTACATATTTATTTCCAAGCAATAATACTACTTGTTTCCCAGATGCTCATTACAGAGAATTGTTTTAGAGATGTTTTGCCTAGAAGAGTGTTTTCTTTGATAAAAACCTTCAGGTTAAGCAGTTTAGTCATACTACCACGCCACAGCCTAAGGCACAAAGAAACTATCAGTAACTCTGTGAACACCACAACTTTTATTTACCACTACACTGAGTAAATAGAAACGGTAGATAAACACATCAGCTTTGTGAGCATGAGAAGTAGCAGATCCTACTCTGCCCAAATTAGAAATCACTAACCCATTTTACATACTTTTTGCCATCACTGCACTCACGGTCTCACACTTGGGTGGTTTGTGGCTAAAAATCAGCTATTTACTGCCTTCTGCATGTTCCCTCTCCACCGAGGAGTAACTGAAATAAGTATGATTACAATGGGTGTTACTATGGTAAAAAGATATAACAATGTATTACCATCACAGACAAAGAAAAGTGAACAATAAGATGAGTAAGATTTTAAATAAGTATCAAATGAAATTCAAAGCTTGTACAGCAGCCTCTGTCCCTTCTTAGCTATTATCAAAAGATGGATGGATAGTTGCAACATCAAGGGAACCCACTAATTCCCACCATTTTCCTTTAAAAACCAAAATGCGGAACCCAAAAGCCCAACCAGACACCACCCCAAAGGGACAGCCAGCTGCCGTAAAATTAGGGCACTTCTCTGGGGGAAAAGGGAAAGAGCAAGAAGGAACCAAAACACGTTGGCGGGGCGGTGTGACCTTGCGTGCCAGCCCACAAGGTGGATCCGCGCCTTCCCAGCATCTCCCTCCACGGACGGGCACCGGGAAAAGGAGGGGAACAGGATCCGGGAAGGGCCGCGGAGCGAGGAAATGACAGCGCCGTCCCGGAGCGCCCGCAGTGCCCGCCCGCCCCCGCTGACCTGAGCAGCGCCAGGAAGGCGGCGGGCTCCACGTCGGGCAGCTCGATCTCGGCCGAGGTGGTGGCCATGCCGCCGTTGAACATCGCGTCGAACACGGCGCTCCCGGCCGCCAGCACGAACCGGTGGGCGGGGATGCGCTGCTGGCCGGGCCCGGGGGGCGCCGCCCCGCCACCGCCGCCAGCGCCGCCGCGGGCGCTGCCCTTGCCCACCACGAAGTGCACGTCGCTGAGCAGCTCGTTGGAGAAGAGGAAGGCGAAGCGCTCCCGCAGCGAGCCCTTGGTGGCCTGCCAGTTGTACAGCGGCTCCCGCTGCAGCACCGCGCCGGCCTCGGCGGCGGCAGCGGCGGCAGCGGCAGCAGCAGCGGCAGCGGCGGTGGTGGTGGCGGGGGGCGTCTCCGCGGGCGCGCCGGGACCGCCACCCGCGGCCGCCATCGCCGCCCTCGGGGCCGCGCCGGGCCGGGCCGGGCGCTCCCTCCGCGCAATCCCCGCGCGTCACCGCCCGGCCCCGCCCCGCGCACGCGCCGCGGCCCGCGCGGGGCCCGGCCCGGAGGTGTCCTGAGGGATCCGTCACACGGGATATGTCCCGGGGGATGTGTCACCGGGGATCCGTCACACGGGATGTGCCGCCCGGGATGTGTCACCGGCAGGGCCGTGTCACCCCACGGGTCCGTCGGGGCCGCCGGTGCCACGCGAACGCGCGTCCGGAGCCGCGGGGAGCGCGCAGAGCGCCGCGGCAGCCGCGGGGTGTTGATCGCGTCACCCGTGGGAGCGGGTAAATGCTGCGGCGATTGTGTTCAGGCACGTGAAACGCAAATTCGTTTCTTTTATAATGCCCTTTTCCTTGCGGTAACAGAGTTGTCCTCCTGTTTTCACCACTGCAACAATGCTGAGACAACGGTTGGCACATACACAGTCCTTACACAAGTACAGTGTGTCTCGACATTTCGTGCTTTGAACTTCTGAGGAGAAAAACCCAAGCAGGACAGGCATCAGAGGGGCAGTGTGGGCTTGTGCCTCTCTCAGCAGTCACCCCGTGTCACGTCCTTGGACCAGGCGATGTAGTGTTGTTAATTCGCTTGAATTAACGAGAGAAATGGGGTTGGGTTTAGTGAGCTATCGTGGTGGCTTTTAACGAAAGAAAGGGGAATAAGAAGTGTTTGTGTTTTCCCAGTCCTGTCAAACCTCTGTCAGTCGAGCAGCGAGGCGGACCCTCTTGCCATCTGCTGGGGCTGTGCTGTAAGGACAGCGGCGATTTCCATCGCGGGGCTGAGCGCTGTTTGTCATAGCTCCTGACTTGTCAGCATTTATGGAAGCGTGTGGCTAAAAGAGGAATAGAACATGTCACCGCTCTGCATTCAGGTTTATAATTAGGACAAAACTGAGACCAAGCAAATGCGGTCTGTTTCGCAGAACAAGTTTTAGAGAACCTTAAGCGAGATGGAAGCAATTCCAGCAGGGTAAACTATAGTGGGAAAGGGCACAGGAAGATATAGTGTACCAACCAGAAAGCAGCAACTAGCTTTGCACAGAGGCTGTATTTAAAAATAAAATCATGTTGCTGACTTAGAAGAATGAAGGTGTCATCTTTGCGCTTTCCTTGTCCCAAGGTGGGCAAAGAAGGGAAAGCAGGAGAGCCCCACATTCCCCTGATAGTTTAGAGACAGAGATGTGAAATAGTGATGTGCCACCATGGACATAAATGGATAATTTTCTGGGGGCATTTTTTGCAGTCATGGGGTGATCTGGATAATAATGAGCATTTCTGTATTTACTGTCTTTTTGCTTTTACCTTTCTATGTTTGCTCACAAGTTAATCTGTCAGTTGAGAGCCAGCAGCCATGACTGCTCCGCCTAGATTGAACCCCATTTGTAAAAAGTCAGCCTATTGCCAGTAACATACTAGAGAAAGTTAACAAGAACTGTTAAGGATTAAGGAAAAGGGGAAATGTACACCAAAGAACTAAAAGGAGGATGGCTGGGGCAGACAAAGTATGTAGGACAGCTTCAGGGATGATAAGAAGGCAATAATTATAATAAGGGATCATGAGAAGGCAAAGCTATGCAAGGCAGGAAAAAACACAAAGGCCTGTGAGATGGGCTGAGAAAGAAAACTGAGAGAGAAAATGAAGGGAAAGAAACAAAAATAAAAATAAAAGTCTTCAAAGAAAAAAAAAACCAAACCTAAAAACAGGAAAGGAGACAAAGGAGAAATGTGACCTGGATGACCATCAGTTCTGTTCAGCTAAGTGCCAAATGCACAAATTTAAACAGTTTTGAAAGAAAGCATACTCTTTTCAACATATTTCTTTCTGAAACAGGGTTTTTCTGCATGTAGACAACGACCCTCAGACATTTGTTTCACCTTGTAATCTTCGTGCTAGCTTCCTTTAAAAAAAAAAAATCAACCAGCTTTTCTTTGGCATTCTCAGTGGGTGGATCACAGCCATTTTTAAATGTGATGTCATGGAATTGTATTTACCAGTCAAGATCAGAAATAATATACAATGCTTTTCCCAAAAGGGCTACACATGAATGTCACTAAATTGCCATCCCCCGTGTGTTCAGGTTTTGTCCAGGAAATATAGCAGAAGTTAGTATAGAGAAAAATATGTATATAACATAAGCAGTTCAAGAAGAACTTTTTTTTAGGATCGCATGTGTCAGAATGGTTACAAATAAAGGGCTGCAGACAAAAGTTCAACAGTATTATATAACTGTGAAGGTTGTCCTAATCTCTAGCCAGCAAAACAGAAGGTCAGGGTGTGTTTTGAGCAGCTAATTTTCAAGGTCTGCATAATGGCCTGAGCAAGCCCGTGCGGACCTTCTGCCTTTTCTTCTGTGGAAATCCACAAAGGAAGTGCTCTCCAAGTTTTGGAGTTCCTTTACCTGTCAGCAGGTAAAGCAGGGAGAGAGAGGACAAAGTGGGTTTGCATGTACTGAAGAAGAACCAGAGAATGCTGTAATCAAACTGCAGGGATTTCTGAGATACCTGTGATGCCAGGGATGTCCCAGAGGCACAGGAGTGCCTGCCCAGTGGCCCTGGCCTTCCCTGCCCCTGAAATGGAGCCAGTTCTGTCAGAGCCATCAAAAGGGTTTAGGTTACTAAGGGTATTGTTTTCAATCATTTGTTCCTGAAATGATTTGAATTCTCCTCCCTTTCCTTCTTTTCCCCACATGAACTCAGCTTTGTGTATGTTCTAAGGAGCTGTTTGTTGTTATGATCAGAGGTTTTGAGCTGGCACATATTTTTACGGTGATTAGCAATTGTTCTCATAAGTGGTTAGCATCCTTTCTCTGCTTCAGGAGGGAAGAGAATAATTCAGAGTAAATCACAGATTTGTTTCTGATTAAGCTTCCTGGTTGGGGCCATATGATGACATCTTTTCCTTTCTATGCTCAATTAGATGCTTAAAATCTCCTGCATCTGATCCCTGCCACTGCTGTGAATGACAAACATGCATATTACTGTTTCCATCAGTGAATTACAGTTGCTCAAATTCATAATTTGTAATAACTATAGTTAATAAAAACTACAATAACAATGTTATTTCTTTGGGGTTTTTCTTGTGGTTATTGTTGTTTTCTTCTCTCTGGTTTGCATTTGCCTGTACTGTTTTGATGTGGGGTCTGCAGGTAACACACCCAGTTTTGGAGCACTGAGTTCATGTATGCACAGAAAACAGCCTTAGATCTGAGGAACACTAAGGGCAGGGATTAAGTATTTTCTTATGTCTTGTAAAGTGACAATATAACACTATAAAAAAGTCACAGTAAGAGCAATTATTGGTTTTTTCTGTTACAGATTCATCTGTATTCTAAAACTGCTAAATGTGTTGAGGCACAGAAGTTCTCCGGACAGAGCCCATATTTCCTACATTTCTACCAGGGTATCTAGTTAGTAGTTCAATTTCCACACAGTTAACAAGATTCTTACTGATAAGTCACGCTTGCCATTTGCAGTTTAAGACAAATAGTTACAATTGACATACTCTCTTTCACTATCATGCCTGTTAATTTTATTCTGACGTCTTTTTTTCCCCCTAAGATTATTGGTTGGTGAATAGACAGACTGTAGCACAAAAATCATCTCTGTGTTTAAGGTCCTGATATCCAATTTGTAAATGGGATGGACACTAATGACTACAATTCCCCTTTGAATGCTTCTTTGGTGCTGTGACTGCTGCTGGTGAATCCCCCCAGATCCTCAGCGGATCATTAATACGTGGCCTCCTGACCCCCAGTGCATACCATATGAGCTACACTTTGTTGCCTCTGGTGCCCCATGCAGTCTGAGATTTACAATACAGCATCATTTATTACCTCTTGTACCCTCAACTAACAAGGAATTGAGAAATAGAATAGATTGGCTTTACAGCTGTTAGAGGATTGCAGTTATGTGTGATCTAAGCTGCTCCCTCAGAAAATTAACACATTAACAGAAGTCTCAAATGTGAAGCGTTTAATTAATTATTTAATTCACATTTTAATCCATTTTTATCTTGTCTTTTGGTTTTACTGACTCCTCTTCCCTTAAGAAGTCACTTGCAAATTCAGGAAGTACACTTTCCAGAATGTATCAGCTTAGTTCCAAAAAAATTGAATGACACAAGTTGTTTTGTACTGGGATGGTATTTTGTAGCTGGCATCATAAAGCAATGAAGGCTTGCTGCTTGGCAGAGGCCTGTGTGAACACATGAGCAGTACTTCCAAGAGATATAAATAGTGTCTCTTAATCCTTGCATTGATCTTCATGTGCTTGCTTAAGGTTCAGCTCCCTACATTTGTTTAGATTAATGTAATTTTTATTTAAAATAAAGTCAAGCGTGTCTTGATATAATGTTCAACCCTACAATTTGTCATGATTTAACAGGCAGTTATTAAAGATAAGAGCTGTTTCCCAGACTAAAAGTAGACACAGAGACCTAGTGGCCAGTTAGTCTCCTACTTTGTAGCTGACCATTAATAAATAAGTATTTTTACATCCTCTACAATATTCTTTTGCTGGCACACTTACAAATGCCTTCCCAGTCCTGACATCAAAACTGATCTGCCACCCTTTAGTACAGAGACTGGGGAGAAACATCTTCCATATTATAAATAATGATTAATGGTCTAATCGAGAAGCTGACAAACATCAGCCCAAGCATATTGTCTGTGAGTTGAGCAGTGCCAGCTGAGGGGCCACACAAGTGGAACTGGCTGGTTGCTGTGGTCAGGATTCCCAGTGAGGAATCTGACATGTGGCATAAGGCTGATACTTGTGATTTGACGGAGAGTTGGGTTACCTGTTCTAAAATGACCAATTAGACAGAAATGATGTAGCTTCTGACACAGGAATGTTACAGTGAGGTAAAGGATCACTGTTTTTGGCACTGTGCTGCTGAAGGGACTATCTTTCAGATGAAATATAAGATCAGAACTTTAGGAATCTCTTGTCAGTAAACAGGATCCTCTGGTAATTTCTGCATGGGAAGGAGTCTTAATTTTCATGTTTCCATTACTTCATTTTGCTTTCCCAAACTTCATTGCAGTTTGTGTGGATACACATTTTTTTCAATCTTATCCTGACATCTCATATTGCTAAATAGTTAAATAGTATTTGATTTTCTACAGGTGATGACATCCACAAGTCTCATGATGGTGGGGGGGGAAGAAAAAAAGATTTTGCAACATCAAGAAACGAACATAATTATGTGACAGGAAGCTGAGAGGTTACACTTATTCTGGTGACAGCAGCTTATCAACACTGCTTTCATATAACACTTTGATTAGTAATTATGTTGCTAGAGACACCCTATTCCTACCTTCATTTTTATATCACTGTTCTGGTACATGTGAATAGAGGGTGGTGTTACAAACAGTTGAAGTTTAAGTTCATCTTTCCCCTTCCTCCCCCACAAGAACACTTAAAGTTGTCAAGAAATGCATGTGTTAGTTTTTGAGGACTCCTGGTTTTCAAGTGAGGGTGTTGTTCGATCCCTAAGATTGTTTGCTGTTTGATTTAATTTCTGACTGAAGATCAATTTTGCACTATGTACCATTGGGGAAGTTGGTCAGTGGTTTCAGACTGTGCCAACCAAGCAAGTTTCCTTTTTTCTCTGGAATTAGTTTCAACTGTAAAGTCAACAAGAATGCTGGGGAATTTTATTTTCTTCCTAAAGCCTGAAATAGAAGCCAGGATATTTTGGCACAGAGAAGAAAGGCCAGAGTTAGAAGACTCTGTAGCTACTAGAAGAAAAATGCTTCTGATATGGAAAGTGTGGCATGCCAGAATCCACATATTCAGCACTATCATGGGTGGACTTGAGGGCCTCCTCTGTCAGGACATGGAAAGGAACGATGGAGCTGGAAGGTTCACTAGTTCTTCTTTCACACAGTGAGAGATGAAAATGAAAGGGAAAACCATGCCCTTTTGAGAAAAAAAAAACAAAAACAAAACACAACACTTCAAACATCCCATTTCATGGGTCTTTTCTGCTACCAGATGCTCATAATTACATTTCTAATCAAAAGTTGATAGATTTCAACACAAAAGACTCAAACAATGCACCTGCACAGTTGAGTTGCTATGTGATTACCACAGGATGTGCCATGGCATTTTCTACTCAGAAGCTGAAATAGGACTTGATGAACCAGCTAGGTGCAAATCAGAGCTGTAATATGCTGGCAGAGGGGTAAGAAAGAAAGTGTTTGACTTTACAGACACAGGAACTGAGAAGCAAAGCTTGAGACATGAGTCTTGAGACTGCGCTGTGGCAGCTGCATACAAATAAGCAGCCTATACATTTGAAAGCTTGAGAAGTAAACCCGCTGTGCATTGAAAGGTAGGCATTTGGAGGTGGTAAATTTAGCCCTGACTCATCCAATGGCAATTCTGACACTTGGGTGGACTAAATTACTTCTAGGAGTTGCATCATGTTTTTACTGGATAGTTTGGTTGAGCATGGTTTAACCCATTTGTGTACCCATGGCCAGATTCTAGACCTTTCTCACTTGAAATAACTGTGCAAGAATTTGTTTGTATATAATATACAGGACGTAGATATAATCTGGGTCACCAAGTTCCTTTCAGAGGGAGGTATTACATCAATTAGTCTATTGCTTAAACTTACCAAATTTACTGTAAAACGGAAGATCCTTTGTCGCTCATGGCTGTTTCTGAAAACTAGTGAAAGTTTGTTCACAGCTTCATCCTTCAAATTAAAGAGTTCTTTCCTCTTGCTGGTGTTAACTCCTCAAGTATTTACAGAGAGCACTCATATGCCAAGCTCTTCAGCCTCTTCCTGACAGACAGGTGCCCTGTTTCCTCAGCCACCCTAGCAGTCCTCCATTGTCTCATTTCAACACGAGGGAATCGGAGGGGTGCTTTTACAACAGCGTTAATTCTTCTAGAAAGAGCTTTCCTGGCACGCTGGAAATGCATTTGCTGTTTTCTCCAGGCAACACAGGATGATCGTTCTCACTTGCCAGTGTCCTGGAATTAAACACTCAGTAACTTCTAGGAACAGTGGTTTTCATTTCTGTTTGCCTTGCACACAAGGCTCATTCCACCACTGACACTTTAGTGTTGATACCCATATATAAATAAAGTTTGAAGCCAGGAAAAAGCTGATGGATAAGGTCAGAAATATGCTTAACTTTTGCTAATTATTTTTTACTTTTAAAATAGAAAAGGTGAGTTCACATGTTTTTTTTCCCAACATTTTAAAAGCGCTAATGTCCTTGTTCTTATTAACTGTCCGTGTTCTTATTAACGCAGCTAAATACTGGTGCAAAAGAGATGCGTAATATTTTTAGGAGTTTCTCAGGAAGATTCCGCACCGGTCAGACCAAGAGGACCCTCTCTCCATCTACCACCTCTCATGAGCCCGGATCGGTTCCGCGGACCCCGCTGTCCTGCTGCCGCCGCCCCGGTACCTCGCCGCGCCGTCACCCGCAGTTAACCCGTGACACCTCTTTGGCGGCGCCCAGCCCGGCTGTCACAGCAGCCCCTCGGCCACTGCCGGAGCCGTGGAGGAGCTCCCGTCCCCGCGGGGCTGGACCCGCGCCACCCCGTCCCGCAGCATCGCCCGTCGAGCAAACCCCGACCGCGGGGCAGGGGCGAGGGGAGCGGGGTGAGCCCCGGGGGCGGGCAGAGCTTCGCGGAGCTCTGCGGGCGGCTCCGGTTTCCGAGGCGGATTTAACCTTCCCTGCGCGGGGCGGGGGGGCGGCCGCCGGCGATGGGGCGGGCGGCGGACCGGGGCCGCGGGGCGTGCGGGGCTGGGGCGAGGCGGTGCCTCGGGCCCGGCGCGGCGCTCGGCTGGGGCGAGCAGGGCGGCCGCCGCCTCCCGCCGCGGCGATGAGCGCCTCGGCGGCCACCGGCGTGTTCGTGCTCTCGCTCACCGCCATCCCCGTCACGTACCTCTTCAACTGCCTGGCGGCCACCGGCAGGTGAGTCGGGCGGCGGCCGGGGCGGTGCGGAGCGGGGGGGTCCCCACGGGTGTTTTTGTCAGCGGCGCGGGGCTGAGCGGAACGGGGCGGGCGGCGGAGCGGAGCAGCGGGGGCAGACCTCGCCTGGCCGCTCCCGGGTCCTGCCCGCGTCCTCTGGGATGCAGAGGGGGAGCCCAGCCTGGCCGCTCACCCCGGGACCCTCCACGCTGCCGGTGCCCATCACCCGGAGCGTGTCCCGAGCTCCGGTCACCCCGGGCTGGCGGTACCGTCGAGCGGACGGAGCAGCCCGGACGGTACCGCTCGTGCCGGGACCGGGGGCAGCCTCCCTGCGGCTCCCGGTCCGGGTATTCACAAACAAAACCCAACGAGTGGAAGAACTCGCCAGCCTCGGAGACCTCCCTCAGGCTCCCTGCAGACACCCCCTGAGCCTGCGAGTTTAACTAATAATGATCGTGTGCCCTCGCTCTGCCAAGGCACACGTTCCAAGGATAAGCGGCAGGTCTAGAAAAGAAAAGTCTTTCCTCAAGGCAAAAACCAGTTCACTTAAGGGTCTGTGTGGTATTTTGTGATACCAACAGTCTGGGGTGTTTTGCAACTACTGCACAAATATTTGCTTCATGTTTTAAAGGCTTTGCTACATGTGTTCCTTCCTCCTTTTCCTCCTTCTGGCTGATAACTAAATTTTTGGTTTCTCATTGCTGGAGTAATGTCGAATAACACATGCTGACTTACTTGATTCAATGCCAATATTTATTTCAAAATGATAGACTGCAGTGAAGAGTCACTGCAATATTAACAACTGTAACGGTATGAAGAAATTCATCACTGGGAAAACAGACTATCAGAAGATTCAAACCATGAAATAAATCAACAAGCAAGTACTGCTCATCCTGACTCAGAAAGTATGTGTGTATATATTCTGAAATATTTGGTCTTGCAAATTTTTTGCAATAATTTGAAGTCAAACTTCACTAAGGCTGAAATTGTCATAATATAATTTGTTTGTACACGATTTGTTTTCTTGACACAGAGTGGTACTATGTATAAAATGACGTATCAGATATTTTTAGCTTATGCATCTGTACTTTACCTAATTTTCCCTTCCATTGTTTTTCTTACACAAGCACAAAAGTTAATACTGAGGAGGACAGTCTTAGAAAGCTAAATATCATTTACATACTTAGAGCTATAAAACAATTTTAAATTGGTTTTCCTAGCTTGTCTTTGGAGACAAATTTGCTTTGTGCCAAAGGTTTTTTGTGCTTTCCACTATCATCACTTTACATGCACTAACATTATGGCTCCATCTCCACAAAAAGATCTTTTCCACTGAGCCCACCTGCACTGATTACTGAACCCCCTCAAATGGTCCTGCCTTGTAGGACCAGAGAGACCCCTGGTAGCACTTCCAAAACTGAACATTAAAGCTAGATCCATCATAGGTGCTCCACACTGCCACTCCTATTCCATGGAACTGATGTGTTTTATTTTTGAATATGTCATTTTCTGGGTAGATAATTTATTGCTGAGGTTAGATGAAATGGCCCCAATGATCCTTTTTGGCCTTGAAATATCTGTGGGTTTGATCTTCACCTCTCATTGGCCTTTAATTTTCCCATGATTTTTGTTTATTTTTGCAGATACCAGTATGAAAACTGATTTTAGCCTGACAAATCTAGACTCCTGGATATGTTGTTTATCTAGCTATTTTTGTATTTTCTTTTTTTAGCTGATCACGTGAAAATAGAGGCACATAAATTCTGCAGAACTATAAAATGACTACTGTGATGGACTATGCAATGGACTTTAAAATCTACCTTTATTAGAAGTTACTTTAAGAGTATGTGTGTTTGAGGATAGCTGGCAAGAACAGCTGAAGAAGCAAAATTCTGTCTTTGTCATTCTTTTAAACTTTTTTTTTTAATACTGTTGCAGTTCCTGGGTAATCGTTGCAGTTGGATTGCTGGTTCTGGTTCTTATTGCTCTGTTGGCTCGTGTTCTTGTCAAAAGAAAACCACCAAAAGATCCACTGTTTTATGGTATGTCCTGGTTATGATGAAGATAAATATCCTGTCCCAGAGGACTGACTGGCTAATTTGCTAGTAAGGTCTGCTATAGACTGCCATGGGTCATGTATTTGCCTTGCTCACCTACAAAAATGACATTTCCCTCTTCACCTCCTTTTTGTTGTCTTTTCTCCTTTCCAAGTGATGACTACAGTCAAGGCTGGTATACCTCATGTATCCAAGATTTTTGAAAGGCTGCCTAGTCCTTTCTGCAGGCACTGACTTTCCATGGAGGCTGTGCCTACAGCTCTACAGAATTTCACATTCCCCAGAAAAGCTTCCTAAGAACTGCGTTGACTAACCACTAATTAAAAAATACTGAGCTATGTGGGAAAGTCACATTGTGGGTTAAATATCTGTGACCTCAAAGTAGATGCAACCAGTTCAATAGATCTCTGTCTGACTGAATTTATCAGACTGTGAAGCAACTGTATGATTTCAAGTCTTTATTAATTTTTTTCTTTATCTGATTACAGTTTATGCTGTATTTGCCTTTACCAGTGTAGTGAACCTAATAATTGGGTTGGAACAGGATGGGATTATTGATGGATTCATGACTCATTACTTGAGAGAGGTAAATAATAGTTTGGCTTACAAATGTAAATAAAATCTTCACTATAAATAACTTGGTGTAGTATTTGTCACACAGAAATAGCCATTCATATAAATACACATTCAATGGGTCTTCTTGAATTTTGTCATTGACCTGCTTTGTTATTGTTATGGACAAAATCTTCTCTGACCTGAAATCACTGACTCATTTGGGAAAAAGAATGTACTTTTCAGACTCCAACATTATTTCACTTAGTTTAAGTAACACTGTTCTGTATTAACTTCTGAGAAATGGATGGACTGCACGTCTTTGCAGAAAGCCATAGACAGCACCCAGGAGTGGAGGAGTCTGGCAGCACTTAAATGTGTTACCAAGAAGAAAACAAAATTGCTGTTTTACTTTTGCCTAATCACTTTACTGAAAGGAATTAAAGTAGAGTTAAAAAATGATGATGCCAGATACCTAGTCAGCAGAATCTGTTGGCTGCTGAATATCAACATCCACCAAAAATAGCTCAGTAAGAGCTTGATATGAAAGTCACTGAAGTCATTGAAAAGATTCCATGAACTTAAATGTGAAATGAGTTGGACCTTACAAGGTTATACGTTGGCATCAATATATTCAATACTGTGGTAGATCTCTAGGTTGCTAAATATATCTACATTTGTTCCATGCTAAATGTATCTTTATTTTGTAGCTTTTATCACTAAAATATGGAAAAGTCATATTTCTATAATGTAGCACAGTAATGCTGACAGTCACACATAGGAGTGCTCCCTCCCATCTTGCCCCCTATTTTGCAACCCTTGAACTCTTATAATTATAGCTGATCCTGCATACATCAGGTCTGTGCTTGGAAATGTGTATTGTCAGTCAAAAACTGTACTGCTGGATTGGAAGAACAACAGTAGCTTTTCTGAACTTGTTTTTTGCTGTTTTTTATTAATTATTTCTTATTCTTCCCCTAATCACTGAATCTCTTTTAAAATTCATGTTTCCCTAGGGTGAACCATATCTGAACACTGCCTATGGCCATGTGATCTGCTACTGGGATGGCTCTGCCCACTATCTGATGTACCTGTTGATGGTGGCAGCTATTGCATGGGAGTAAGTCAGTTTGATTTGTGTACTGTTTACTTTGCTCCCCTTCTCACAAAACCTACAAAGGGCTTTCTTTTCTATGCAGTGTTTAGATTTTTCTTTCAGGGCGGTTCCATGTCTTGGGCCAAAGCATTGCTGTTAAAATTTCGTTACATTCAGGAGTTATACCCTTGCCAAGTTACCCTCTCTCTCAGCTGCCTAAGCCCAGCAAATGCACATTAAAAGCATGTGTGAGAAAAACAATTTGTTTTTCAAAAAACAAGTTTAGCATAGGAATAATGCATTGCTTAGCACAATGATGATCTCTCATCCATTTTAGAGAGTGTAATGAAGTTTAAGAGAAAATGGTTATTTCTGGAGATTTTTATGTTTCTTGCATTTGAATAATGAGTTTGAGAAAGCAAGTACTTGAATTCCAGAGACTAATGTACCTGCTGGTTATAGAAGCATTAACAGTATGGAATTAATTATTAATTCTTTTATAGTCTGGTACAACCTGTGATGTGCAAACTCAGCCTTCAGAGGAGCGAAACATGACAGTAAATAACTGAGTATGCCCAGAGCCTGTACTGTTCATGTGATAACCTTTAATCTTCTCACACATGAATGTAGGATTTTTCCATATACCCCTCTCAGAGGCAAGAATCCCCTGTTGACTTGTGGTACAGATTTTAAAACCTTTACATACTAAAATACAACCATGGCAATGAGTATAATATTTGGGGTAGGGGGTTTATTAGAAAAGGTGCAATAATTATGCTGTTCTCTTTTTTAAACAGACAAAGCTATAGAACCATTGGTCTCTACTGGCTAGGTTCCATTATCATGAGCATCATTGTCTTTTTGCCTGGAAATATTGTGGGTAAGGAAGTAATTTATATGACTAATTTTTTCCTGTGAAGCATTTTCTAAATTCAGCATTAGGCTATCTATATTTTACTGCAGTCTTGGTTCGTTGCTGTAATAATATGAAAGAGGAATTTTAGGAATATCAGTAGAGAGATGCAAGATATTTTAAAATCTAAATATGAGGAAGGGAAGATGAGAAGAAAAAAACACAACCCCTTTCAATTTCCATTGCTCTCAAGGGGAAAAAAAAATTGTATTTTGTTATACCTGTAAGGCTTCCATCTAAATTAGGTTTAAATAATGATACGAAAAGTGTGTCTTAGTATCACAAGAATATAAATCTTATTTTACATCAAATTTCCAATTTACTTAAAAATCTGACTTCCCAGCAGCTCACAAGAGGCATCCAAATCACCTTTAAAAGTAAAACCTGGAATTTATTCTGTTTTCAACCAAAATTTTACATTCCTAGATTTCTAATTTAAATCAGTGCATAGTTGTGCTGCTAGAGGTGAGGATTGTAATAAAAATATTTACATCATTATTACAGGCA